GACCGCTTCACAGAACATCTATGTTCTGCTCGCAAAAAAGACCCCGAACTACCCGTTGCCTGCCACTTGAATGCACCACCCTGCTCCCTGGCCAACATCTGTCTCTCTGGCTGGCTACAGTGTTCCAGTGAAGCCCAACGCAAGCTGGAGGAACAACACTTCATTTTCCGCTCAGGGACCCCACAGCCCTCCGGACTCAATACGGAGTTCGATAATTTTAGGGCCTAAACTCTCCCATGTCCCAGTCCCCACCCCACACACCAGGCCCTGTTACCACATAGCCTGCCACTACACACCCCCTGTTGTTAGTCACTAACAGTCTCCAGTAACAACTACTCACCCTTCCAGCCTGATCGTTAGCAACTCCTTTGTCCAATTGTCTTTCTCTCTCTTTGGGCTCTATCCTATCGTTTACTCCCTACCCCACCCACCTCCCTATTTTCTGCATATAAACTGACATTTTCCCAGCCACCATCCGTTCTGAGGAAGGGTCACTGGATCCAAAACATTAACTCTGTTTTCTCCTTCACAGATGCTGCCAGACCTGCTGAGCTTTTCCAGCAACTTTGTTTTTATTCTTTCTCTCTCCCTGGGCTCCATCTCCACCTATCGTTTAATCTTCTTAAACCCTCTGCACACCCCATCTTTGGCTGATATACCAGCCTCTTTTGTTTGTACTTTAGAGGTCATTGTCTCAAAAACTTCCCTTTTCAGAGCAGGGCAGTTACACTTCACTCTTTATTCCTTGTTCACATTGTCAGGATTAAAACACTCACGTAACTACAACCTCCTTTCATATTTAAGCTATTCAACACTCCACACCTCTACTTCAAGAGCCTTGAACCTAGGCTGATGAGTGTAAGGAATTAGGCAAGTGAGAGAATATTAAGAGGAAGAAATCAAGTCAATAATAGCTTGCTAGGGATTCAACCATCAATTTTTGGATGCAATACTGATAATGCCAAGTAGTAACATTGTGACTTCGTACTTGAGTTGTCACAATGGAAATCAAGCCAATTACAGTACAAGTTAGCAAACATTAAACAGTTATTAGCCTCATTCTTCAGTCCCAACGTACGTTCCCCTAATGGCCTTCCTGTTTATAAATTGCAGCTTCCATTACGGCATCCATCACTGGAATCTTTTCATGGAAGTTGTCTTTACCTTTCCAAGTGAGGGAATCTAATTGATCAGACTGCAGCAGCTAAGTGGGCATTGAGTATAGTGACAGGATCAGCATTTTATCACTTGGTGTCAGAGGATTGATGCGTCAAACCTACCATCACTTTGTACAGCTTTGCAACTCTCAAATCACACCACATGATTAAATATTTAAAAAGGAGAGAGAGAGAGCAAAGTGAACATAATCCCCTTAAAGAACAAGACTGGGGAAATAAAACCAGGAAACGGCAGAGGAGTTGACTAAATACTTTGCATCAGTCTTCACAGTTGAAGACACTAACGGCATTTGAAAAATACAAAATAATCAAAGGGCAAAAGGGGACAAGAAATAAATGCAATAACCATCGCTACAGAGAAAGTAGTAGAGTGACAGAGATGTCCAGCACAGAAACAGTCCCTTTGGTCCAGCATTGTAACCAGCACTATCAGGAAAATGAACGTTCATAAAACTGAAGTCACTGCATATCAGAGCAATAACTTTGCACAAGTTGGAGTCATAATACTAAAGGAGATGGTAGCAATTGTTGCAGGCTCATAATTGAATCCCCAGAATACCTCTACAGGAAATGCTCAGGATAGCTAGCTTTAGCTGCTTCCATCAATAAACTTCCTTCAGCTCCAACTTAAACAAAATGGTGGACTAAGAATTAGATACAATAAGGACTACAGACGCCAGAAGCCAGAGTCTATAGGTGTGAAGCTGGAAAAGCACAGCAGGTCAGACAGCATCAGAGGAGCAAGAATGTCAACGTTTCAGGCCAAAACCCTTTGTCAGGACTCCTGATGAAGGGTTTTGCCCCGAAACATTGATTTTCCTGCTGCTCTGATGCTGTCTGACCTGCTGTGCTTTTCCAGCTTCACACCTATAGAAGGTGGACTGAGAGTAGCTGCCCCTGAGTTGCAGGCTTTCTTGTACAATTCTTATGGTTTTCACACTTCAGAATCATAGAATTTTTAATTTGAATCACTTTGGAACTCTTGTAGTGCAAATAATTACAAAAAATTGCAAATAAGTAGAGATTTATTATTTTTTAAAGAGTTTGTGTTGGTCAAGCATCGATCTGTCGAGATTTTGTGTTCTCTTTCTCTGTTTTAAACTTTGATATTTCTACATTTGGATGTGCTCATGAGCAGGAAAGGCTTGGAGGGATATGGGCAAAGCACAGGTAGGTGGGACTTGTTTAGTTTGGACCCAAGGGCCTGTTTCCATGCTATATGACTATATGACTCTATAACTATTCAAAAAGGGAAGGTGACAGAAAAACAGAGGTAACTGTAGGTCAGTTAAGTTTAATACCTGTTATTGGAAAAATATTAGAGTCTGCTGTAATGGATGTAATGGCAAAGAATTCCAAATATAATCAAGCAGAGTCAGCACGGCTTCATGAAATGAAAATTATGTCTGACAAATTTATAGCTCTTTGAGAAGGTAACAAGCAGGCTAGTTAAAGGGGAAGCAATGGATATAATATATTCCGACTTTCAGAAGGTGTTTGAGAAGGTACTTCACATTAGGCTACTTATTATAAGAGCCCACAGTATTGGGCGTAGTAAAAAGCATTGGTAGAAAATTGGCTAACTAACAGAAGACAAAATTGGGATAAGGGTATTTTCAGGAAGGCTACCTGCAACTCGTGGTGTGTCACAGGGATCAGAGCTAGGGCCACAATTATTTACAATACATGTTAATAATTTGGATGAGGGAAGAGAATGCACTATAATGCAGATAACACAAAATTAAGTGGGAAGGCAAGTCGTGAGGATGGCAGAGTCTATTGAGGTTTAATGACATGTTAAGCAAGTGGGCAAAAATTTGGCAGATGAAATACAATCTGGGAAAATGTAAGGTTATGTATTTTGGCACGACAAGTTGAGGAGCTGAACATTATTTGAATGGTGAAAGTCTGTAAAAAATCGTGGAAAGAGGGATTTGGAACCCTTGTGCATAAATCACAAAAAGTTAGTATAGAAGTTCAGCAAGTAATCAGGAAGCTAAACGGAATTTTGGTCTTTTTTTATACTCCATTCCCTTTGAAATAGAGTGAAGTCTTGCTAAGAATATACCAGGCACTAGTCAGACCACCCCTAGAATACTATGAACAGTTTTGGTCCCCTTGTCTAAGAAAAACAATACTGGCATTGGAGGCAGTCCAGAGAACGTTCACTAGTTTGATTCCAGGTGTGGAAGGATTTTCTCATGAGGGGAAATTGAGTAGGTTGGGCCTTTATTCATTGGAGTTTCAGAGAATGAGAAGCGAGCTTACTGAAACATACAAAATTTTTTAGAGGACTTGACAGACTAGATGTTGAGAGGTCGTTTCCTCTTGTGAAGAGTCTAGGCCAGAGGGCATAATCTCAGAAAAAAGATGTCAGCCAGTTACAACAAAAATGAGAGGGAAGATTTTGCCTCAGACAGTAGTGAATGTATGGAATCCTTTACTGCAAAGGGCTGTAGTGCCTGAGTTTTGTAGTATTTAAAAATGGAGTGAGACAGATTTTTAATCAGTAGGGGAATCATGAGGTACAGGGTTAAAGGCAGGACAGTGAAGTTGAGAATTCTCAGATCAATCATGAATAAGCTGAAAGACACAGCAGGCCCGATGGGCCGAATGGCCTACCTCTGCTCTGATATGTTATGTGAATGCCATTGCAGTTGCCTTTCAGAAAGGGCCACCATTTGATAAGGTAAGGCAAGGTGCACCAAAGAAAGGTGCCTTTTGTTTCTTTCTTAAAACCTGTACCTGTTTCAACTTCATGTAGAAAGCTTCGGAGAAGGTTTTTCTGCTGAAGTACCAGAATCTCTCATTGGTCGGATACACACGGACCACCGCTTCCAACTGAAACCGGACAGGCTCTACCACTTCAGTAATTATTAAGTCGATAGCCACAGTCATGTAGACCCTTTTATCTGAGAGTAAAATAGTCAAATCAGAAGTTAGTCAATCGGTACTGTCTTTGCATAAAATACAAGCTATCATGTAGTTTGCAGCTTTACTAAGTGTAAACTCCAAAGAAACTGCAGAGTTCAAGTTTTGTGTCAATGATATTTTGTCAGAGTTCTAACAAAGGGTCAAAGACTTCAGACATAAGGTGACTATGCGTTGCTATCCACTGAGGTTGCTAGACCTCCTGTACTTCCCCAACATTTTCTGGATTTATTTCACATTTCCAGCATCTGCAGTATTTTCCTTTTGTAAAAGTACCTACCAATTTCAGTTTTGACATCTGCTTTTTGGGGAAGTTTGTATTATCCTTTGACCAAGATGTGCTTTCTGACATCATCCCTCAACACCCTAGATCCAAATTCTGGACTCCTGCACCAGAGGAAATGCTATCTAGCCAACAAATCGCTCAAAAACATTACTTAGGATGACCTGTAATCTTTATACTCAAAAGCATACAAGTTGAGTTGATACAGCCTGTCTTTGCAGTTTAACCCCATTATCATTCTGGTGTATCTGCACTGTCACACCTTCTAAGGTCAATACATCTTTCCTCCAGAAGTGCCCAGAATAGAATGCAATATTCAAAATGGAACTTAACCAGGATTCTGCGTAACTGCACCATCACACCCATTTCAACCCAATTAAGGTAAAGGCCAAATGTGCATTGGTCTTTTAATCTTTTCCTGCTCTAGTCCACAAACCCCTAGCTATTTCTAGTGATCCCAAACCTCTCTACCTCTCCACAGGCTTTCGTCAACCTGCTGTTATACTTTCCAGCTTTGTAATGCAGCATCTACCAGCCTTGAATTGATTTAGTTACTAATCCATCCTAGCCAGAGACTGTCACCCAGCGCCAGCCAAAGCTTAAGCTTCCATAACAAGCCACTATGACATACCGGAGTGGGGAGCAATTCAAGTTTCAGCGTTTTCTCCATCATAGTCTTTCCACACTTCTGCTTTCTGTCTGTGTCCATACCCTCCATAACCCAGTTTTCCTTCTTTCTTTGGTCCCTGAGAATACTTATTTCCACTCAGTCTCTTTTACTCTGTCACCAACACGTACCTCATTACAACCCCTTCTCTACTTTGTGCTTCCTTCAGCTCCAGAGAAATCTCATCCACGATCTCCTCTTTAGTCAGTAGGGAAACCTCACCCTCACAGAGCCCCTTCCTCAATCACTGAGTACTCATTTTAGTTGGTAGATTAAATAAGAAGTTTTAAACTGAGAAATACCTTTAGGAGTCTCCTCATTCAGAGCCTGAAAGGCAGGACCATTAGGATTCCACATTCCTGTAATTACATAGGACTTGCCATCTGAACTCTTTCCCATGGATTCCTGAGTGAAGATAGAACAAAATGAGCAGCTTGAAAGGAGGTAGATACCCACAGCACAAGAAAAATACTTTGTCAAATCCCAGAACATATTTCCCATCAAAACAGTATCAGACCTTTAGAGTTTTACATGGATGCACCATGATTCAAGGAGCTGGGCAGCAACCACCTGGGTTTCAAAGAAAATACTTATTAAGTGCTATTTTGACACAGTAGTAGCACCTTGGTCTCAAAAGCATAGGCCATTGAGTTTTGGTCCCATTTCAGGTCCCAAGTATATAAGCTGGGCTGAAGCAACAGTCTGGTACTGTGCAGTGCTACATCGTCAGGGTACCAAACTGCAGATGAAACATTACACTCAGGCCCCAGCAGCCCTCTGAGATAGACGTAACGTTTAGAAAGAAACAAAAAGGTATTTCTCCAAGTGTTTTAGCCAACTTTCATTCTGCAAACTGCCAACCACCAAAAATAGATTAGATGATCATCAATTTCTCAAACAGCTAAGGAAATTGCCGTTGGTAAACTGCCAGCTCATTAATGAATAGAGACAAATAGAAATAAGAGCAGGAGTAGACTATGTGGTCCTGCGCCTGCATCAATCTGCCTCAAATCCATTTCCACACATACTCCCATATTCCTCAGTTCTGAGAAACACAAACTCTGTCCATCTCAGACTGAAGTGTATGATGCAGCATCTCCACAATATTTTAGGGTTGAAAATTCCAAGGATCCATAAACTTGAGCAAATAAGCTTCTCAACACAGACTTATACAAGGTTTTTTTTATTGTCAGATGATAATGTCCTCAGGTTCCCATATCCTGGTTCCTCAGTTAGAGAGGGCCTAACTTTTCAGTGGCTGCCCTGTCAGATTGTTCCGTGTTTCATTTACATCACCTCTCATCCTTCGAAATGCCACAGTATAGAACTAATTTATTCAGACTGTCATCATAAGCAACACCCTCATCCCAGTCAACTATTTAATAAATTTTCACTATACCACCTCCAATCCAGTACCTGTATTCTTCCATAGAAATTGAGACCAAATTACACACTGGACCCGAGGTGCAGTCTCACCAAAACACCACTCCCATACATTTCCAGCAAGACTTCCTTACTCTTGGGCTCCAGGCCCCTTCCAATAAGGCGAAGCTGTCATTTGCCTTCCGAATTGCTTGCTGTACCCTGCATGCTAACTTGCATCCATTATACAATCATTATGATTCCAGATAATGGTACAAGCGGTCAGGTGAGAACCCAGAACAAAACTCTGATTGAGAGATGACTTTTTTGTTAAATTGTTAACGTGCCGATCAGTCACGAACACATAATCATACAAGTGACATTTGTGTCAGACGTACACGTTTGCTTAATGGCTCTGCAGTTTAAGTCAGAGTATAAGCTCTTGTTTTGTATGTAGGAGGATTTCACTGGCTAGAGATCTGGAAGATCTCAATCCCTGTGTGGTTGAATGTGACAGCCCCTGTACTTTGACAAGAGCTTGCACCTACACAGTTAGCGTTTATTTATGTTGATGTCATCCTGAGCTACCCTCCTGGTTGTTTTCAGTCGTGGTTCATCACTGTCCTTTCCTGTGCTGTTGGTTTCATCACAAATATCACAAACAAAACTTCCTGAGAACATTCCAAAGCACTTCACAGCAATTGTTGCATTTTTTTAAGGTGTAGTCTCTATTGGAATGTAGAGAATGTGCTGTCAAACCACTCACAATAGGATAGCACAAGCAATGTGATAATGAAGAGATGATGTGTCTTTAGTGATGGTTTGAAGGACAAGTATTGGTCAGGACATCAAGAAGAACTCTCCTGCTCTTTTGAACAATGCTATGGAACCTTTTAAATTCACTTGAGGGAGCAGTCAGGACATCAGCTTAACAATTCATCAGAAGCACAGCACTTCTGACAGCATAGCATTCCTTCAGTGCCGTGCTGTAAAGCTAGTCTAGACTAGATAATGTGCTTAAGCCTATGTTGTGGAGCATGAGCCCAAACCTTCTAATTCAAGAGGCAACAGCTGTAGTGTTCATGGTGGTGGCTCGGTGCTAATGTCACTGGACTATTAATCTAGAAATCCAAGCACAGGTTCTGGGGAAATGGGTTCAACATCCACCACAGCAGATGGTGAAATTTGAATTGAACATAAATCTAAAATAAAAAGCTAGCCTAATGACACCCATGCAACCACTGTCTGTGGTCATCTGTGATCCATCTAGATCTTTATGCTCTTTAGGGAAGGAAAGCTGCCATCCTTACCCGGTCTGGCCTACATAAGACTCTAGACTGACAGCAGTGTAGTTGGGTCTCAACTGGTGGCATGTTCAGTAAATGCTGGCCTAGCCAGCAACACCACCAAACCCTACCATAAACAGATTAAAAAGAAAACTAGGAGCTTATTCAACACAACCCCATTCTGAGGAAGGGTCACCGGACCCGAAACACTAACTCTGTTTTTTCCTTCACAGATGCTGCCAGACCTGCTGAGCTTTTCCAACAAATTTTGTTTTTGTTCCTGATTCACAGCATCCGCAGTTCTTTCGGTTTTTATTTAGGAGCTTATTCAGTTTGCGTGTAAGCCTTTGCCAACAACTGTAGAATCCTCCTTGACCTATGTCCGTTCAGCCGTTTATCATATGAAGCTGTTTCTTCCACTAAACTCACCAGGTCAAGCAAGTGCATGTCACTGTTCCGTACGTTTTTCCCCGGACTAAGGAGCATGCCAAAACATCTGCAGAAAGGCAAAATACTACACGTCATGCAACACTTCAAACACAGCGGGAAACATGAGGACTAAATGCTTCACACTATCAAATTATACCAAAAAATCTGCACCTATGCAAAAGTGATGAAGAATATTGCCTACTTTGGGTCATAACACGTGATTTTTTTTTTAATCACTTCAACAACTGAATCACAGCCACATCTCACTTTGATATCAGTTAACATTTTCATTCACAAGTTCAAACTGTTGCTTGCATTATCAGCAAAACATTGTGAAGCTAGCAAATCAGAAGCAGCTCAATTCTAATCTTGCTACATTGATTACTGAGATTACTTCTGACCAGATGTCATCTAGTGGTGGAAATTAAGTAAAACAGAATTAAAGATTTACCTTCCATTAAATGTACATTATCCCATGATTAACATTAAACTGTTAATTGCCACCTTTCAGTCCAAGCCTGGATATTGTCTAGGTGTTATTGTATTTGAACATGGACTGCTTCGGTATCTGAGGAATCACGAATGGTGCTGAACATTATGCAATCATTGGCAAATATCCTCACTTCTGACCTTATGATGAATTAATTATAGTTAGACAACTGAAATACACAGGTTCTGTGTAGTTGGGGCTCAGTCAAGTCCTAGAGCAGTTGTATATCTTTGTGTAGTGAGGACTCAAAGGAAGTCTTGGGAGGTATGGTGTTCGGAAGAAGCTTTGCGCCACTAATGGTTCAGTGCAGAGAAGGGTTAGTTGCTATTTGACATGCATTGTGGGGTGTTCAATCTTTGTTTATTTGTTACCCATAGTTTTCTAATTAATTATGTCATGTTAGAATATATCATATTTATGTTGCACAGTCTAAACTTTTTTTTGTCAACAATCTTCGCATGTTTGTTTGTGTAAGCTTTATTCATAATAAATATGTTTTTTTTTTACAAGAAACCTGGCTGAGTTGTTTCTAATCCTAAATTCAGCTACAGTCTAAAACTTGTATGGCTGGCCTAACCACCACCCTGATTATATTTAAAATTTGTTATGACCGGTGGAGGAATGGAACAATAAGGGAATCAATGCAGGCCTCAATCTCAGTTGTAATGACATACTGTCATTCAGATTTTCCAAAATTAAATGAAGCGAGGGGATTAAATTATGAACAATTGCCTAGAATAAACTGGAATTTACTTAGTTTACAAGATTAAGGGGATTTCTGATCATGTTATTTAAAATGACTAACAGATATGATGGGGTAAAAAAAGAGAAAACCTATTTGCTATAGAGTCCAGACAAGGGGTTGTAATCCAACAATTAGAGCTAAATCATTTAGGAGGAAAACATTTGCCTATTTCAAATACGAGCTGCTGACAGTTGTTGAGGTGATAATTCAGAGACAGATTATCCTCTTCAGTCTGGGTAATAATCAATCTGTCTGATTTACGTTATATTGAATGAAAGGGGGTCAGGTTGTGGAAGGGACCAGAAGCATGGTTTTTAATAGAAAGATCACAGAGTCCCTACAATGTGGAAACAGGCCTTCCGGCCCAACAAGTCCACACTGATCCTCAGAGCATCCCACCCAGACCCATCCCCCCATAATCCACCTAATCTACACATCCCTGAACACTACGGGCAATTTAGCATGACCAATCCACCTAACACACATATCTTTGGACCATGGGAAGAAACCTCAGCACCCATAATAAACCCAAGCAGACACAGAGAGAATGTGTAAACTCTACACAGACAGTCGCCCGAGGATGGAATTGAACCCAGGTCCCTGACGCTGTGAGGCAGCAGTGCTAACCAGGGTGCAATCTGATCTCCTCGATGTTACTATTTGTTTTGGACTGTGGACTGAAAATCAGATGTACGCTGTTTCAAAAAGTGGGGAATATACAAGAATTTGTTTGCAGCTTTGTGAAAACAAGGGAAGCTAACTGATACATATGAGACAATACTACTGCTTGGGCATAGTGATTCCAGACAAAGTGGAACAGGTTGTCGTGAGTTCAGGAGAGCTCAGCATAGTAAGAACTCTGATTGATCAGAATGCTGTTTAACACAATGTGAGGGGAGCAACAGAAAGGGATCTCCAGAAGATGACTGTACCAAATTTTCTCTCTCTGTAATGTTGCTTTTCCAATTTTATGTAAAAAAAACAGAAAAACTACATATGGATGCACAAAGAAACACAACTGAGACCCAAAGACAACAAGAAAGATCCTGGCTACAACCAAGCAGCTACTGAACTACAGACTGATCATGGCTGTGCAGGGAACATGGAGTCATAATTGAAGAATCAAAAGGATTGTGAAACCAGAAATCAGAAATCGTGTTCTTTTACTGTTCTTGTTAAAGTTAAGAGTTATTTTTATTGTCACTGAAAGAATCTGAGTGAGGTTTGTATTTATCCTAGGTAGAAGTCACTTTAAACTGGGATATTTGATAATTTCATTAACTTCTAACATTAGTGCTGACTCCAGGAAGTGTGAATTCAAATTCTAGCACACTAGTCCAGTAAATTATGACATAGATTACTGAAACAGCACTTAACACACCATGAAACTAGCCCTGTCATGTCAAACAATTTAGTCCATGTGCAGGTGAGCACAAACAGTCTGCAAACAGAAGGAGCAGAGATCAAAATAATCCTGCCATGGCAAAATCCTTACATGCTGCAGGAATTCTTAATGTTCATTCACACAAGTTACACAAGAAAACTGTGGCACTCATTCAGCCTCTCTAACTGATCCACCATTCAATCAGCTCTGTATCTGAATACCATACACATCCCTTAGCACCTTATTTTTTAATGCCACTGGCTATATATTAACAACAGGTCAATTTGATGCATCTTGTGTGTGGATGAAGGGAGTTTGCACACTCCCTGCTTGAGTATGCTAGCTAGCTTCCCATTTTAAGACCACATCACAAGCTAGTGGCAATGTGAGAAAAACGTCTAAGTCTGTCCCCATCAGGACACAGCCTCTCCGAACTTCAGCATCACCTCCTTGTGGCGATGTGGAAAATGGGCCTCTCCCAGCCCCCAGTGCAACCTGGAGGTGGCTTGGCCTCCAGGCCCTGAACACACTGCATCACCAGCATGTGGACAGACCCTGACACTCACAAAGCCAACTCCCAAATATGAAGGAATTGCCTCACTGCCTTACTGCCTTGAGGACATCTCCAGTGGGGGATTGATTGAAGACTGGGGGAGTACAACCCTGACGAAGAAATCTAGAATGGAACCCGAAGGCTGATTCATGTCTACATATTTCATTTTTCTAGCAACTCCTACAACAAACCTGGTGCCAAATGTAGCGTTTACACTCTATTGCACTCATCAGGAGTGGCTAAGGCATGGATCCCTGACATTTGGGCAGCCCAAATGGGGGTTTCTATACATTTTGCCCAGACTTATGCCTTGAACCGGACACTCTGGTTTGCCTACAGAGCATCAACACAACAGAGCAGACGGAGTTGATTGCCATAGCACAAACCATCACCAAACAGGACGGGAGCTGACAATGTAAGAAATATGCATCAATCTTTGGTATCAGAGGGCATGGCTGAAGTGAAGTGAATTGAATCGATAGGTTTCAGAGAAGGATGAGGAAGGATGGGTGGAGTGTGCACTGGTTGGCCTGAATTGTTTGTATCAGTGCTGTAACTTCAATGGCAAACATCCCTCTCTCAAATTCCACAACCAAATCAGATTAACTTCCATCTCATTTTTAAGATCTTGCACATTTACAAGGAAGATAACTGACCAAACAAAAAAACGTGATTAATTGGATACGTAGCACACTCAAATCATCCTTAGAATGCAAGAAGGCACTGTAAAAATTAAAATATTTTTTCTCCCTCTCTCCTACATTATACATTCATTTGGTACAATCTTCACCTACTGACCCTCAAACTCCAATAATTTCTTCTCCTGCTGCCTGATCTGTGATGAGTGTAATCACAGAATCCCTACAGTGGGGAAACAGGCCCTTTGGGAGAGGGAAGGAGGGAGAGGGAGAGAGAGAGAGAGCGCGAGAGAGCGAGACACACAGAGAGCGAGCGAGAGCGAGAGGAGGGAAGGGGGGGGACGAAGAGAGTGGAGGGAGAAGGGGGGGGGG